AATTTTATTTTAACACTACAACACAAACACCGTACCATAGCAAACCTAACATAACATAATTTCAGTACAACTAATGAAAACACATGACACGGGAAACATAAAGATAGAGTACTACGCTCAACACGTATATGTCATTGTTTAGTCACGACCGCCTAGTATTCTCTGTTCCAACCACTTAAATTTGTCTTCCAGCTTATTTTTTTCTTCTTCCACCTCCTTGAGTTTCTCCTTCAACTCCGCAACTTCTCGTTTGGATTGTCGCTCTCTTTCCCACTGCTTCAAACACAAACTATGAAGATGCTGCAACTTTTCTTTGTAGTATTCCTGCTGACAGGGTTCATCAATGCATACCTCAAAATTGCATGTAGATTCGTCTGTTGCCTATAAAACTTGTTCATACAAGCCCAGTAGCGGCGTCCAGCTTCTTCCCAACACTCGAAACTCATGAATAGTTTGCCGCACTCGCACCTTGGGACATAAAGGGGTTCAGACATTTGTTAAAGCGTAAAGAAAAACCTTGATTTTATGGAAATATTTGCTACTGGTTATTGTTAAGCGTAGAAAATAAGTAGAGCCCGTTATTTATAGGCAAGACAGCACACAAAATGCAGTATAATACCGCGTTTTACATATTAAATTTTTCTGAAACGGAACAGCTTTTGCGCAGTCGGTTCAGCTTTTTCATACCGACAAGACAACACACAAAATGCAGTATAATACCGCGCTTTACATAGTAAATTTTTCTGAAACGAAATAGCTTTTGCGCAGTCGGTTCAGCTTTTTCAGACCGAGAAGACAACACACAAAATGCAGTATAATACCGCGCTTTACATATTCAATTTTTCTGAAACAAAAAAACAATGACTTGATTTTTTTCTTAGTTATCTTTTATTTTCATGTTTATTGCTTTAGTTATGGTTGTTGTGCTTTTATCTCTTCGAATATTATGTTATGAAATTTCAATCTTCAGATTGGTCTTCTTTACAAACACCAATAAGTTGAATGTTGGACTACCATATCATCATCCCAATTCAGAAGTTCATGTTAAAAAATATGATGTAACAAGACTGTGGAACATAATTTTATTTGATAGATATTGCCACATACACAAGTACAGACACTTATTACAAAAAAATATTACGAAAACAAAAGATTAGGTGTATCCTTGATAGTTGGGTACATTCAACGAACTTGCACCAGGAGCTGGATTACCACCGCCACCCACACCAGCTGAAGGACATTTACGACGGTCGTGACCTGTTTGCGAGCATATGCCACATTTACGCGCATAAACGGTATCACCAACATCCATTTGGTTCCGTATATGCGTTCTCTTTTGCACTTGCAACTTGCGCAAGTAGTCCTTGTTACACACCATTTTAAAAGGTTCCGGCGGCCAATAATGCTCAGCACCCAATGGCTGCAACTGCCTACTATATGTGTCTACGTATGCAGCAACACTGTATTGCTTATCAATATAGTTGGTTGCCCCTAAACCAACTTGTTGAAAGCACTTCAAGGCATGTGCGCACGGCATGTGGTAGATGGTCCATTTCCCACATGAACACAACCTGTTGGCATCATTCACCGTCTGTAGTTTATTCCCCCGGTGTCCGCGGATAGCGGTGCGAACTTCAAAAACACCCCGATCGTGATCGTACTGTAAAAATGAATGCCAATGTGCTCGCCTCCTGTACTTCTTAAATCTTCTCATCGGTATTGGCATAAATTGAACACCCATGTCCATCAATTCCGATGCAGCTCTATGCCTTTCAACAAACCTCTCCGCAATCTGTTTGAATGTCATCCGGACCATGGCAGTGACAGGCAATCCACGTGCAGACTTCAATAAGCCGTTGAATGACTCCGACACATTTGTAGTCAGGGCTTCCCATCGTCTGCCACCATCAGCATGCAATGTCCACATGTGAAGCTCATGTCCCATCAGCCAAGTATATGCTCGTGGATCAATCTGCCGGATCGCTTCCATGTGCCTCATGAATTTGCACTGCTGGTGCTCAGTTGCAGCCATCCACATTAAATCATGCAAGGCCTTGTCGTGATATTTCTTCTGAAAATTGGCCTTCAGGTGCCTCACACAGTAACGATGGTATGCATAGGGTTCCTGCCATTCAGGCAAATGCCGTACGGAACTTAAAATACCACCATATCGATTAGATATTAGACAAATACCTGAACGTTGTTTGACAACGTGCTGCTTCAGGTGGTTCAAAAAAAGCGTCCACGTCGCTTCGCTTTCATTGGCACAAATTGCAAAAGCTAGTAGAAATATTTGTCCGTTGGCATCTACTACAACTGCAATCAAAAGCTTAATATCATAATTTCCATAGACATGAGTACCATCTATGGAAATTACAGGACGACAATGCACAAAACCATCAATTGCTGGTTTAAATGACCAGAACACATAGTTGAAAATATATTCGGGTCTGTCCGGACTCCGCTCACGCCTCCATTCAACAACAGTCTCGGGGTTAAGTGTTGTAGTGCGGCCATGTACCTGGGCAGAGATGAAAATAACTTATCCCAGTCACCATAAATAATTTTAAAGGCACGTTTGCGCCCGAGATATGCCTTTCTTTTGGTTATAGTACACCCATACTCCTGGTGGACGGCTGTAATACACTCTTTAATCTTGGACCTAATGGACACTTCCAAGTATGGAATCAAGATAAGAGAAATCAAGTGTACATCCAGGTTGAAGTGATTCTCATTGAATGTGTCCATTTCACATATGTGGGTGCTAATATATTTACCCACTTTCCACAATCCTGATTTCTTCTTGCTGGCACGCAACATCTAGTGACAACCCATAAAGTCTCTACGGCATACAGCCTTGTATACCTCCGTAGTTGACTCCCTTACCGTCATCTCACGACACTCTCTTACGCTGTAAATTTTCACAGCTCTGATTAGGCGAGCTTTATCGGGGAAATACATGCCCTTTGCCAACACCGCTGGTCTAGACTCATCCCACATTGCTGATCGAAATTCGTCAGCATCCCTTGTGAAGGCATCCATGTCCGGCATACTTGGCAAATTATCAAGGTATGGAATATTCCGCTCATGAAACGGCACGTGGGACTCGTACACTCTTAGTCTAACGGGAGGTGGAGGAGAATGCTCCCTCGTCAGCTCAGGTTCGACATTCACTTCCTCCTAATCATCACCCTCATCAGGGAAGGGTGTGTCATCTCCAGACTCATCGGCATTGTTGTCATAATCACTATCATCTTCCTGACTCTACGCATCTGCCAAATCACGAGTAAATACGTCGTCTATGGGCAACTGTGTGAGTTCAGGAACATCAAGTTGCTCGTTTTCACTGCACAAAAAGAACAAAATGATAAGCTATTCAACTAGATAAATACTTTACATATAGCTATAAACTTTACTTACAGGTCGTACTGTGTTGACGTTCCATGATGGACATTTTCTTGTTGGTGATGACTCCTGGATGGACCACCGTGGTCCAACACGCCAGAACTACGCATATTCTAACTAGGAGCGGGGTCATAACTTGTAAAATTCATATCCGGACGGTACCCCCTATGAAAAATATGAGTGTTAATACAAATCCAATTCAAACATAAAATAAACATTGCTAAAGCGTAGAAAAATTGAAGTTTACCAGTCGTCTTGTGGATTATATAAAGTCGAAAAATTATTTTCTCGCTGCTCATTTGCCGGTGGTGACAAGTTTAAATCAAGGCAAGCTCTTTGATCAGGAATCTGTCTGGCAAAAACTGCTCCAGAATAACCACCCGATGACTGGGGTTATCCCTACTATGCACACCCTCATTATTGGGAACGTCTTCAACCTTGACGTACATTTCCAACAATTTTATTACAATAAATTTCCTGTATTTATCCGGAATCCGCATAAAATCTCTAAGAGTTTCATCATCTTCGATGTTAAACTCAGAATAATAAGCAAACCACTGCGGAGTCACAGAATACGAAAATCTACCGGTTACTTTAAGGTTCACCGAACGTTTCCTAACACTCATTTTCTTACGTAACAACGATACCAATTTATCGTACTCCATTGTAAGCGGCAATTTAACATGGCACTGTGGAGGTGAACTATACCTCACAGAGTTATTCTCCATTACAACCTCACCCTCCCCCCCCCCGCCCCCCAATATAATGAAACCCTTATTTTTGGCTCTTCATACATTATAAAAAAAAAAGCTTGATAACAAGAAGAGAAGTATGAACGGAAGTTTGAAGGAAAGTTTTGAATGGATTTTCATAAAATGCTAACGCCTTTAAATAAGGCAAGTCCTAGCTTGGGGTGCGGAATTTTTTTATATAAAACGCAGTATAATACCACGCTTTATGTATTTGAATTATTGTTATGTCAGTTATCCGCAGAACACTTATTGGTGGGCCCAAAATTGAAGTACAACGCATTATAATACAACGTTTTAGTAAAACGTAGTATTATACTGCGTTTTACATTAAAAAACGAATTAATAATTAAAATGCAATATTATACTACGTTTTCCTTTAACGGCTAACTTTCCGTTAAACTAAAACGCAGTATAATACTGTGTTTTAGTTAGAAATATAACTTTTTTTTAACTATATAAAGGTATTTTGAGTCCAAAATACCATTATTTAGGTTTCGGACTCCTGAAGTTTAACTCTGAATGACGACACAAGTAATATACGACTTATCTACTCAATTATTGAGTTAGGACAAGTTACGCAGATTCGCAGAAAAGTTGTAAAATACACAACCCAGGAAAGTACAACTTCTACTGAGAAAAGGGAAACAAAAAAACGACCCCACGAAATTCATATGGTGGAATTTATTTAATTTGGAATATTGTGGGCGTGTTATGATTTATGAAAGCGTCACTTTAGCTTCTTAGAATCTCATAAAGTTACTGTTCCCGAAATAATGTGTGAACATCAATAGATTAAATAATGTCCGAAAAGGCTTTAGAATATATATATATATATATATCTTCCCACTTTACTAATTCCCAAACCTTACACTTTCTTGCTATCACATTTCCTATAATAAGAAAGACGTCTTGGTTTTACTATTCCAAAACCCTTGCCAAGTTGCATAGTGAGTAACGATCATTGATTTCACGTATAATTTTAATTTACAACAATTAGCATGGGAAGTACGTTTATTTTTTCTTTTTTGGTTGTGACTTGTGATGGCAGTAGTAAGAAGCTGATGCTGGCTTTACTTATTCTTCAGCTGGTTCTTTAATTTGGAGGTAATTAATTTGCTATGAATTTTTTTTTTACCAACTACTTGCATCACTCTTATAGAGTTTGTTTTCTTATTTTCTTCTTCGAGAGTAGAGAGACGGATTTAGGATATAAGTTTTATGAGTTCAATCTTTAAGTTTTTTTTAGTATTGAACCCATTGTATGTTTAAAATTATGGGTTCAGACCTACTATTTATTGTAATTTTAGTGGATTTTTACGTATAAATATATGCTATTCGTCCAAAGTACCGGTTTCAATTGAACCCAGTGATCGTCTGCTACATCTGCCTCTGTATATAGAGTTAGTGAGTTCAATAAATGTGATCTTATTATATATGTATATTTTAATTTTTTTTATATGTATACATAGTTAACTACTCTGAATATGAAGGACTGAAAGAATGTTTCTGATGTTATGTTCTAGCTTATTCTAATCTTTAAAAAAAGGTCCTTTGGCTGTTTACTGGTAATCCTCGAATTAAAGAATTACTCCCTCCGGTCCACAATAAAAGTGACTAATTTGATTTGGGCACACCCATTAAGGAAATACTAAATTCTAGACAAAAGTAGTTAGTACGACTAAACTACTATTAATTAAATGTTACAGCATAGTTAATGTGAGGAGTAAAAGACTTTTTAGGGACACGTACATGAGGGTAATTTTGGAAAAACAAATTGAATTGTTTTTTAGTTATATAAATGGACACTTATTTTGGACCAAATAAAAAAGCAAATTGATCACTTATTGTGGATTGGAGGGAGTACTATACATAGTTTTCTCATTAGTTCCAAAATTTTGTTCATAGTTCCCAAGCTCATTAAGATATCACCATAACGAGCTATCGGACACTAGTCTTCGATCTGCGTCACTTATGATATATTAATTGAAGACAGTTGATTGCAGCAATCTTGATTGGGCCTACAGATATGAGCAATTGAATGACAGGAAACAGGACAGATTTGACACTGGTTCAACTCTTTTAAATGCTATCTTCCCTCTCAATCTTCATATTGAATTAATCCTTTGTTTCTTTGACAGGTCAATAGCTGAGAAACTCTCATGGTATTCTCATTTTCTCTTACATCCTTTGTTCACCCTCAACTCCGGCATGTTGTTGGAAAAATGTCTCTGTTTGATACAATTTTGTTCTATGTTAGTGTCCTCCACTCCCCTCTTGTGATATTATTCTTTACAAGCTAGAATGTTGTTTCTACTAATGCTCCGGTTTTTGATATGTCAGGTGGTACATCTTTTGGACAAGTTTGATCTATGGCATAGATTACCAGTGTTACTCGGGTTGGCTTACTTAGGATTAAGAAGACACTTGCACCAGCGATACCACCTGTTACATGTAGGAAAAGTTAATGGCAAGAAATATGATACAGAAGAGTTCTCGTATCGGACTGCTGATGGTACGTGCAATCATCCTGTGGATCATTTAGTGGGCAGTCATGGAACCTTCTTTGGGCGCAACATGCCACCATCAACTTCAACTTACGGGGTAAGCTAAAGCGCAATCAAATATGCCATATATAGTAATGAAATCATGGCAAATTCACTTTTTTTTTTCCTGCCAAAGTTTTTAATAGTTTCAACTTTCGATTACTTCATCAGGTTAGCTACTGGATATTTCAGTTTTCTGTTCAGTAGGTTAGGGGGTGCAATGTATATTAACCTGTTTCAGTTCTTTCATAATGTTCTTTTTTGATCGCTAATTAGCATGATCCAATAAATGTGCCTTAGTCGTATCCATACCTGAAATCTATAGCTTGAGATCTCTCATTCACTCGTGAGAATATTATTCGATTATGCAGCTGCTGGAACCTCATCCAGCAACAGTGGCAACGAAGCTCTTGGAAAGGAGAAAGTGCACAGATTGCGGGAGCCAATTAAACATGATAGGATGCGCGTGGGTACAATTTATGATCCATGATTGGAATGACCATATGGAGGACACTGAACAGGTACCCACTACTTGCATTAATAAGGGCATGAAAGAATTCATCACTCGTTGCAATAACAGGCAAAAGTTGGTGGGAGGCCATTTTCGGTTGTCTAACTTGTAGAGTTGGCATTTACTTTGCTTCTATGAGGATATTATGCTGTTTGATACTAACGAAAGTTCTTGAAGGTTTTAGAGAAGATATAACTGTTTTCATTTTCCTTTTTTAAGAACTAAAGGAGATTAGAAGGTCACTTAAAGAATGTGTATTCGTCATGGTAAAGGTGTGTTTATGTTTCTCTAACACAATTTTTTCGACAGGTGGAGCTTAGAGCTCCTGAAGATGTTGCAGCAGGGTGTCCATTGAAGTCATTTAAGTTCTTTAAGACCAGAAAAGTTCCTACAGATTCACCTGATCCGAAGTTTGGGCATTTGAATTCAAGGACCCCATGGTGGTGAGTATAATCAAAAACTTCTAAATCCCCATAGAAAACTTGAAAGGTTCTCTCATATTTTGAACTGTTGTGATTTTATTTGTACTTCCCTTCACTCCAAAAGCAGGCAATAAAACTAAATACCTTACTGGTGATGGAGTAAGCTAATAATATAAGACACTGGAGGAAAAGAATTACCTGTTAAACCGACAAGATTACTGGACAAGGAAAGAAGAACAAAGATAAATACATCATCAAGTCCATGCTCTTGCATCCCACAATCTGAGACTGTCATAAATTTACAAAAGCATGAATACTCCCACAATCAAATGGTGCTAATAGCAGGTTATTCTTTGTTAATGGAGAGAAACTTGAAGAGAGACTATTGCATGTTATATTCAGTCAAGCAAAATAGATCCTATTAAAATCAATAGTAAACTCAACTAAATACTGTATCAAAGTGCTGCTTAGTAGCATGCTAAAAGAGTGAAGTAACAACTACGGTGGAGATGGAGGGGGAAAGGAGGCGGAAATATTATTCCGTGTTGACATATATGATTGTCAACTCTTGTCCTCACTGTCCAATTGGAACTCAATTTGATTTCTTACTTCATTTTAATGCAGATTGGAAGTTAGTCTACTGATGGAGTTTTATTTCATCTGATGAATTATACATGTTCCTACTGTTTTGCTAGGGATGGGAGTGTAATATATGGGAATAATAAGGAGGGCATGATTAGGGTGAGAACATTTAAAGATGGAAAGCTCAGGGTCTCAGGAGATGGACTTCTTGAACATGACAATAATGGCATTCCAATATCTGGAGATGTTCGTAACAATTGGGCAGGCTTCTCTCTGTTGCAGGCCTTGTTTATGAAGGAACATAATGCCATATGTGATATGCTTAAAGTATGTTTTTCTTTTCAGGTTCTTCAGGATAATTTTGCACCTTAAGAGAACTGAGTTTGATTAAAAGCCTGATTTTTGTTTCAGGAGCATTACCCTGAATTTGATGATGAAAAGCTGTATCGACATGCAAGATTGACAACTTCAGCAGTCATTGCTAAAATCCATACCCTTGATTTGTCAATTGAACTTGCTAAGACTGATACTGTAGTTGCGGGAACGAGGATCAACTGGTAAGCCCACTGCTAAATACTGCTGCTATTACTGTGGTTGAATTAAGAAACAGCTTCCCAGTATTCACTTAGTTGTCTTGATCTTCTAAAATGTCGTGCATCATGCTTTGCATTGCGAATGACTATAACATTAACTATTAATGTTAATTAACAGAGTCTACTTCAATTCAGGTATGGATTTTTGGGGAAGAAAATCAAGGATTTGTTAGGACTTAAGTTTGGACCAATTCTAAGTGGATTAGTTGGTCTTAAAAGGCCCAGAGACCACGGGACTCCCTACTCATTGACTGAAGAATTTGTTAGCGTCTACAGAATGCACTCACTTTTACCTGACAAAATTATTCTGAGGGACTTGAAGTCGACTACTTCAGAAGACAAATCCTTGCCTATTCAAGAAGAGTATGTTCTCCTATTACACATTTTGCATTATAAACAAGTTGTTGCCTTGCTATATGACAATTCTTTTAGATAAAATCTGGGAATTGATTTCAGGACATGAATAAGAATCTGCCATATATATGAATTATAACACAACAAAGGCCAGATTTGTTGAAATCTAGAAATAAAATAATCAGGAGATGTGCTAATAAAAAGGAAAAGAACTTGTTAGGACATATGTATTTCTAACTGTCTAGTTTGATCAGGATTCCTATGACGGAAATGATTGGGAAAGAAGGAGAAAAAAGCTTGTCCAAAATTGGTATAGAGCAGATGCTGGTATCAATGGGTCATCAGTCATGTGGAGCTGCTACATTGTGGAATTATCCGACGTGGATGAGGAATCTTGTTCCTCATGATGTTGATGGAGAAGAAAGACCAGATTTAGTTGACATGGCCGCATTGGAAAGTATGTTTATTCATTCTTCCCTATTGACATAAAACATTGTCCTCGTATTTCATAGAAACTACAGACTGACTTGCTATTATAATAGTTTATAGAGATAGAGAGAGGGGAGTTCCACGGTACAACGAGTTCAGAAGGAATTTGCTGATGATACCAATTAGCAAGTGGGAGGATTTAACTGATGATGAAGAAGTAATTGAGGCTTTGCAAGAAGTATATGGTGATGATGTTGAGAAGCTAGATCTCCAAGTTGGTCTACACGCGGAGAAGAAAATTAAAGGCTTTGCCATTAGTGAGACTGCCTTCAACATATTTCTGCTCATTGCTTCAAGGTATGTCAATATGTTGCAGCATAGTATATGTTAAATATAGAACTGGCGTGCTAATTCGTGTGACTGTTTATGTTTCTTCAGGAGGCTAGAAGCTGATCGATTCTTTACCACTAATTTCAATGCGCGAACCTACACAGAGAAGGGCTTCGAATGGGTTAACAAGACAGAGACATTGAAAGATGTTATAGATCGACACTTCCCTGAAATGACAGAGAAATACATGAGATGCACAAGTGCATTCGCAGTGTGGAATTCAGACCCAAATCCTAGACGTTATTTACCTCTCTATCTGAGACCAGCAACCTAGTATGTTTTATAGGATGTGCACTTTGTAACATTTGTATGATATGAATATGTAATACGGTATAGACAACGTTAAGTTTGAAAGTATTATATGTAAGATCGCGTAAATATGTAAATGGATTAATATGTGTGAGTGCGACACGCTTGACTATGCAAGTGTGTTAACTTTTTGCTGTCCAGTGACTCAATAGGAGAATAAAAATAACTCGCTGTTGCTTCTGAATACGAAGTCCTCTGATATGTCATCAAATGACAATGAGACCACCTTACATTGCAGATACTACACTCCCTGTAATGGAAAAGAAAGCAAATATTTTCAACTAAAAGCTAAATTCTATTGATTGAGAGATAATATTATTAGCAGTAAAATACCGAAAGATGACATGCAGCAACTACTTCGGGACAAGATTGATAGATTCTGAAAACTTTAAGAGCAAGAATTGGTAGTGGCTAGAAGGACCACAGACTGCCAGCGGTAATATTCAAGACTAGAGACTAGTATTATAGAGTGATGGCATCAGAATGTAGAAGAACAATTGTGGGAAGATTTTTGAAGATTCGCCCCCAAATTGACCGAATCAGATCTCGGTTTTCAAACGATTCTCGCTAAAAGGTTCGGTTAGAATTCATGTGTATGACAACTACAATGTGTTTCTAGACTTCACAAATGATGAGGACTTCAACAGGGTTTGGTTTAAAAGAGTAATAGAAATTGATCAGCAGCAAATGTGGCTCCAGACATGGAGTCCGGACTTCAAACCAGAGGAAGATTTACCAATTGTTCCTATATGGGTTCTTCTACCTAGTTTACCATTTCACCTGCACACCTGGCATTACTTGCGTCAAATTACAAGTGTAGGTACACCATTGGAGATGGATGTGGCCACTAAAGGGAAAACTCGACCAAGTATGGCCAAGGTGCGAGTTGAAGTGGACCTGCTCAAACCATTGCTTAATAGCGTTTGGGTAGGAGATGAAGATGATGACTCCCCATTGAAGGGATTTGTGGAGAAACTAGAAGTATTGCAAGCACTGCAAGAAACTGGGGCATGCACTGATAAATTGTAGAGTGTTGGAGCGTAGAAGGTTGATGGAAGACAAGGAAGCTGAAGAAAGGGGAAAAGAAGTGGCCAAAGAAAAGGTACTGGAAAAGGTGAAGTCGGTTAACGAAACAAAAGATGATAAATAAAAAATGGGTGAAAAATCAAAGCAAAAGAAGGACATAGGGAAGCACACTGATAAGGAAGATACGATGGAAGCTAGCAAGGGGAAACAAACAAAACAAAAGAAGGACATAGTGAAGCACACAGAGAAGGAAGATATACTGGGAGCTAGTAAGAGTTATGGAGGGAATAACACAAACAAAGTTGAGATAACACGCAATTCCGCTGAAAGAATTAAAATGCTGAAGAAGAAGAACAAGGTGAAGGCAAAGAAAATAGCTAAGAAGAAAGCCAAAGTAACTTTTAAACAGTGATACTGGCGCATGTGGGGACCAAGAAGAAAAAATACAAGCAGATAGATCAAGGGGCTCAGGAAGTGAACGAGAAGAGTATGCTGGATAAAAGTACATGAAGTTCACTAAAAAATTTAATGCAATTGAGGAGGACAAAAGGTTCGAACAGAACCTAGAAAAGGATTTAAGCAATACAAATGGAAAAAATGTATATCACATATGCTCAAAGGTTAACAGAGGATCAAAAACTAATTCTACAACATGGAGTAGCAATCAAAGGGAGGATACATCAATCATGGAATCATCCAGTTTGGGTTCAAAAATTAAAAGGCAAGAAGGAATTTAGCTTGTCGTTGAAACAAATAGAGGCCAGCCACAAACTCATTTATCCGAGCAGGTGGATGAAGACTCTGGGGATGAGACTGCCCCCAGTCTCATAAATGCTTTTTCACGTGCTTTGGATAAGGGGAATGAACTTGAAGATCCAGCACAAACATATTTGAAGGAGGTATATCCCCGGGAAGAAGAGGAAAAAGTGGACAGAGACAAAAGTGAAAGAAAAGAAAGAAATCAATCTAACCCTAAGATGAAGGGGAGGACACAAAATAATTAGTCTAATCCTTCTAATGATTAGTGTAATTTTTTGGAACATTAGAGGGTTAGATAAAAAAAGTAACTTACAGATTGAAAAACTTGGTTGGTATAAATGGTGTGCAGTTTGTAGTTGTCTTTGAGACATTTATCAGTAAAGGTTTCTGGGTTTCCAGCATTGTTTTGCAAATGAGGTAGGGTAGATTTGGTGCTTCTGGAGTAATAATTTGCATGGAAATGTTATTTCTAGTGATGATCAACAAATCACTATCAACTTTCAGGACAATGCTGGTGATAAGGATATTACTATCTCTGCAGTATATGCTAAGCGTACTACTATAGAAAGGAAGGAACTTTGTGAGAGCTCTCTGAGTTAGAAGCTCAAGTGGATGGTCCTTGGTGTATTGGGGGGATTTTAATGTAATACTATATCCTATAGAGAAAATGGGAGGTACACCACATATGGCGCATATCAGCTTTGACTTTGCTGCTTGTATGGATGAATATGGGATGGTGGATGCAAGGTATGTAGGCTCTAACTTCACCTGGTGTAACAATCAAAGACCTAGTAAAAGAATTTGGAAATTGTTGGACAGGATCATGTTTAATGACTGTTGGAATGATAAGTTTCAGAACACTATTGTTAGACATCCTAGCAAGAATGCTTCAGATCATAGACCAATGTTGTTGAGGTGCTTCTCAGATCAACATGATGGCATAAAATATTTTAGGTTCCTCAACTTTTGGGTGGAGAAGCCAGGATTTTATGATCTGGTAAGAGAAACCTGGGACATAGAAATCTCAGTAACTCTATGTGGAGGTTGCAACAAAAGCTTAAAATACTGGAAAGAAGACTAAGCAGGTGGTCTAAGAAAGATATTGGTGATGTATATCAAAAAGTCCATGAATGAGAAGCTGCTATGCAAAATTTGGAAGAGCTTGATTCCATTGAAAATAATGAGAACTCCTGGGAAGAGCTAAACAAATCACATGTTGAATATGTAAAATGGATGGCCATGCAGGAAGACCTACTAAAAGAGGAATCCCGAGTCAAATGGCCTGAGGAGGTAGACTGCAATAGTAGATACTTTCACAATACTATCAAAGACCAGAGAAGAAGGATGCATATATATAGAATCAAGAATAGCAGAGGGAGGTGGATACAGAGAGAAGACAAGATATCAAAAGTTGCAATTAGACACTTTGAAAAGCAATTTAACCTTCCATCTGTAGAGGTCGATGACGACACAATCAGCTGTATTCCTAGACTGATATCGGAAGAAGACAAATGCAATGCTATCAAGAATGCCTAATGAGGAGCAAGTAAAGGAAGCTGTGTATGACTTGAGCTCTACAAGCTCAGCTGGACCAGACGGATTTAATGGTATCTTTTATCATAAATTTTGGAATATCATCAAAGGGGATGTAGTAGAATTTGTGCAGAGCTTTTTTAGGGGTAGTAAGTTAACTGAATTCTACTCCCACACATGTCTTTCTTTGATTCCTAAAGTTGAATCTCCCTCATTATTTTCAGAGTTTAGACCTATTAGTCTTAGTAACTTTTCTGCGAAAATCATCTCCAAAGTTTTAGTTAGGAGATTGAATCCTTTACTCCCTAATCTAATATCTGAAAATCAAAGTGGTTTTGTCAAGGGTAGATTGATTACGGACAATGCACTCTTAGCATATGAAATAGTGCGGGGGGTGAATCAACTTAATAGGGGGGAAACCTAATGATAAAGCTTGATATGGCCAAACCATATGACAGAATATCATGGAATTTTCTTATTTCTGTGCTAAGGAGATTTGGATTTTATGATTGGTGGTTAGATGTAGTATGGAGATTATTTTCGGAGGTGTGGTATTCAATCATAATTAATGGGTCAAGAAAAGGATTTTTCACTTCTTCACATGGACTAAGACAAGGGGATCCACTGTCCCCGTCTCTTTTCATACTTGGTGCAGAGGTATTATCAAGGCTGTTGAATAGGTTACATGATAACCCAGAATTTGTCCTCTTCTCAATGAACACTAGGGGACCAAAGGTGAACCATCTTGCATATGCTGATGATATAGTAATTTTCTATGATGGGAAGAAGAAAATAGTGAAGCTGATAATGAAGCAAGTAAAGTTATATGAAAAAAGCTCCGGACAAAAGGTCAATAAGGACAAGAGTTTTTTTCTGCACCGCTCCAAAGGCCTCAATCTCCAGAATCAACAACATGATAGGCAAAACTGGTTTCAGACACAAGTTATTTCCATTCACATATTTGGGTGTCCTTATTTGTAGGAAGGAAGTAGATGAAATACTTTGATGACCTAGTAACCAAAATTGTTAAAAGACTATCGGGTTGGTAAAGTAAACAATTATCATATGGGGGCAAAGTGATTCTCATTCAGCACCTGCTACAGGCAATTCCAACTTATACATTGGAGGCAATGGACCCGCCCAAAGGAACTTTCCAACTAATTGAAAGACACTTGGCTAGATTTTTTTGGGGCAAAGACAAACTCCACTGGAGTTCATGGGCATTTTGTGTTGCCCCAAGGAGGTAAAGGGGATTGGAGTTAGAAGACTTGAAGAGATTAGTGATTCTTTTGCCTATAAAAGATGGTGGAGCTTCAGAACACAGAAATCTTTATGGGCTACATTTCTTAAAGAAAAGTATTGTTGCAGAGTATGTCCTGTGGCTAAGGCTAATAATGGGAAGCAGTCTCATACATGGAGAAAGATGCTACAAATTAGAGAAACAACAGAAAAGAACATCATATGGAGGATACAAGGTGGCGATAGTAAGTTTTGGTGGGACAATTGGACTGGTAGAGGTGCATTAGCTAAAATATGCCCTAATCAGCCTAGATCAACCAAACTTACAGTAAGAGACTTTATACAAGAGGGACAGTGGAATCATGCAAAACTAGCAGAGGTTTTACCAACACAGCTGATGCAACACATTGAGAAGGTAAAGATAGGAAATAAAATAAAGCCTGATTATGCTAAATGGGACCCTGGCGCTCATGGTAACTTCACTACCAAATATGCCTGGCAGAGTGTCGCACAATAGAGTGCTAGGACCAAACACACACGCAAGTATACATAGTCGTCAAGTAATAAAGTGACTCAAAAGTCAGATGTCGAACCCACAGAGACTTAGATTGATCGTTAAGTAAGAAA